GGGCTGATTTGGGATGCCCCTGGCAGAGCCGTCCACTTACCATGGAAAAGATTGCGGGCTGGCGGCTTGCCCACACAATGTGCACACACTGTGGCTACACACGGCCAACTACTCACTATGCAACCGATCGCAGGGTTCGCATAAGACGCGATGGATCCCGATTTTGACTTTACGAACCTCGCAGGTCAATCATTCATCTTCGAGACTCAACTCTTGGAGAATCACCTGCGATTCCTTTCCTGATCCGTTCCTGCTGCCCCTATTCCCTCACTCGTTTCCGAGAATTCATGTCGTCCAACATGGATCCGAAGTATGCGGATGCACCGCCCAAGTTCGAAGAGACTGCTGTGGGCACAATGACGGCCAAAAGCTCCAGCGACGTGTCGCCTGGCGAAATACACACCAATATCGACAATTTGCAACGTCGCCTCGGCAACCGTCAAATTCAGCTCATTGCCATCGGTGGCTCCATCGGCACCGCCCTCTTCGTGAGCATCCGTTCGGGTCTGGCCAGTGGCGGTCCCGGCAGTCTCTTCATCGCCTACCTCCTGTACAGCTGTCTCCTGGCCACGGTCAACAACTGCATGGCCGAAATGGCCACGCTGCAGCCCGTCAGCGGTGGCTTTATCCGCATGGCAGGTAAATGGGTAGACGACGCCTTCGGCTTCATGGCCGGGTGGAACTTCTTCCTCTACGAAGCGCTGCTGATTCCGTTTGAAATCACGGCTCTCAATGTGGTGCTGTCTTTCTGGCGCGACGATATCCCTCCCGCCGCCGTCATCTGCGTGTGCATTGTTCTATATGCGTGAGAAATCCCCCGTTCTACGTTATTTTACGTTTTGTGTCAGGCTACGTGACTCCTCTCCCTCCTCCAATGCGCCCGGGCCGAGAATGCTTATCTGTGACGCTTTAGTATCTTGAACGTGCTGGCCGTCAAAGCCTACGGAGAAGCCGAGTTCTGGCTCTCCGGTGGCAAGGTCGTACTGATCTTCATGCTCTTCTCCTTCACATTTGTGACTATGTGCGGAGGCAACCCCAAGCATGACGCATACGGCTTCCGGTACTGGCGTGACCCCGGCGCCTTTGCCGAGTACACGGCCAACGGGTCTACCGGCAACACGGCGCGCTTTGAGGGCTTTCTGGCCGCCTTGTGGTCGGCCTCCTTCACCGTGGTGGGCCCCGAGTACATTGCCATGGTGGCGGCCGAGGCCAAACGCCCCAGCATCTACATCAAAAATGCCTTCAAGACCGTCTACATCCGTTTCGGCCTCTTCTTCATTCTCGGTGCGCTTTGCGTGGGCGTGGTCGTGCCCTACACTGACCCTGGTCTCACCACTGGAAACGGCACCGCCGCCGGTTCGCCCTACGTAATCGCCATGCGCAACCTCGGCATCTCCATCATGCCTGACATTACCAATGCCCTTATGCTCACGAGCATTTTCTCGGCAGGCAACACGTACACGTACGCATCCACCCGCAGTCTGTACGGTCTCGCCCTCGAAGGTCGTGCGCCCCGCTTTCTGACATACTGCACCCGAAACGGCGTGCCCTTCTACTGCTTCTGCGTCGTCATGTGCTTCCCTTTCTTATCCTTCCTGCAACTGGGCGATTCCTCCTCCGAAGTGCTCGATCTGCTGATCGGCCTCATCACCGGCGGTGGCCTCATCAATTTCCTCGTCATGGGCATCACCTACCTCTTCTTCTACCGGGCCTGCAAGGTCCAGGACATCGACCGCAAGACCTTCCCCTACTACGGCTACTTGCAGCCCTGGTGCGGCTACGTTGCCGTCATCGGCGAGACATTGGTTCTCCTGTTCTACGGCTATTCCTCCATCGCCACCTGGAGTCTGAAGGATTTCTTCACCTACTACACCATGCTCTTCCTCGCCATTGTTTTGTTCATTGGCTGGAAGATCATCCACCGCACCCGCTTTGTAGGGTCGCGTGAGGCTGATCTGGTCTGGGAGCGTCCCGTCATCGAGGCCTACGAGTCTTCTATAGTCCAGCCTCCCTCGCACTTCTGGACCGAAATGATCCAGCTTCTTGGATTTCGCCGCAACAAGAAGCAGAACAAGGTCTAAATCATGACATGCTTACGGCAGGGCGATAGGCCCTCTCTCAAGTCTCGACTTGTGCATTGCATGACTTTTGCGATGCTATCAACTTCCACTATGTATATGAGATACCCATTGCAATTCAACTGTATAGCCCTGCAAAGCCCCTGACCTATGTGACATGTAGACCTATCAGAAGCTAGCCCGTTGAGACGTGCTTGTCATCAAAACAAGATTGTACTGACTTGCTTGAGTTAATGATGCTGGGCCAAGGAAAGCTCAAAACGATTCCTGACGACCAGAGGGGCCCCGTAGGTAAATATTGAGCGGGGAACATGTACACAATGTGGAAATTCCACAGCCCTACTCTACGACAAATCAGCGGGCTCTGGTATGTGGCGAGTGGGGTTCCATATTTGTTGTTAAAACTCATCACAATATGGAATGATGTTGGAGATATTTTGAGTATGTGCAGAAAGAGAACCGTTACGGTTTGCAGTCAAGGTTGTCATGACTGCGGAAGCACAACATGTCTAGATTAGACGCAGTGTCATGTAGGTCACTTACAGGGGCAGCAGTTGGGTTAAAGGGAACCTATGTGGCAGTACATCTATCGCTATGCATCTTCTGTCTGTATCTTTGTGTCTCTACGCCTGAATCGCCTTCCAACCGATACGAATGAGTCCGTTACCTCCCAAGCGGCCACAACTTGGTCGCGACCCCCGCCGTTTTCCTCGCAAGCCAAGCCGGAGTCGTAATCGCCATTCGTACGGCATTGACGACCAAGCCCCCCGTTCCCTTGGCCACATCCACCACAGCGCCCCGCGGGTCCGTCATACTTTTACGCGCCGTCCCGACCAGCCAGTAAAAGTCGTTGAATGCCTCGTTGACAGCCCAACTCAGCGGGAAGGAGATTTTCTTGGGCGGTGGCTGTACGTCGGGCCTAAATCCCGGGAACTCAGCCATGCCCTTGTGCTTCCCCTCGATATCTTTGAGCGTGAGCTTGTGGTTCTCGTGACCCCTGGCCTGCACGCTTCCTTTGGTGAGTTTGCTACGGAGCCGTTGCTGCTCATCTGGCAGGTTGTCTCGCCACCACTTCTCGATCGTCTCGAACATGTATTGCTGAATAGGGGTCTTCTTCTCGACAAAAGCGGGATGGTGCAGAATCGTGAGGATTTCGTCAATGGTCTTGTTGGCATTTAGCTTAGGGTTGTCCCAGCATTTGACGATTTGTTGCGTGGTCCAATTGGTTGTGACGGTGGCCACGAGGCCCGCAGGTTGGTTTAGCACGTTGCTGAAATGGTCCTTGGAAAGATCTGAATGACTCGGGTCGGATGCGGATGACCCAGCTTCGTAGACTGCTGCCGAGTTCGCCTTGGCTGCTTCTTCGTCAACCCTGCTCTTGGCCGCTTTGACGGCGTTTCGCAGTTCCTTAACTGAAGATTCAACCATCAGACCAAGAAATCGGTAGACTAATTGATTGGTGTACTCTCCAAGTTGGCTGTTGGAGTCGTCAGATGTGGGTTCGTTGGTTGTCTCGTCGCCTTCTTGCAGCCATTTCGAGATTCGATCATGGAGGTAGAATACTGGCTCGATGGACTGCCAGAGAAAGTTGGGATTCGTAATACCGGAGCCGTTGCCAGAATCCGACGTCAACGAATCCTCCTTGGCCTTCTTGAAGATCATGCCCACGGTCTCGAGCTGTTTCAGGAGTGGGTTCTCGCCGATGGAAACATTGCTGACGGCTTGAATGGCGGCCTTGACAAGGTCAAACAATTGCTCAAAGGCCTTGCCACCGTAGTTGAGTTTCTTCTCCAGTTCACCCAGGGAGCCTTTCGATTGCAAGATCGCCATGTCGTCAGCCTCGCCAAGCAGACTGTGGAATATGTCGAGCATGCCAAATGTCCCCGTGACGATGGGTGGCACTTTCCTCCCTGTCCTTCCGGTAATTTCGACCCTGCATTCGTCACCAACAAAGGCAAAGACCTCGTCTATTCCAAGCTCGAGTAAGCATAGCTCGGTGAAGTTGCTATGGGCAGAAAAGTCTTCGAGGGTGTGGAGCGCGGCGCCAAGATGGATGAAGGACTCTTTTTGTGCGGCCGAATCCTTATGACGCCCTTTCCGTCCCAGCGTGATGCACTGCTCGAGCTGGTCCCGGATGTAGTCGGTAGACGTAGCCCATCCATGGCCCGACTTGGCGATGTAGTTCTTCATACCCGTCTTGGGGTCGGTCTCCAGCTCTCTTGGATCTACGGGGCCTCTCAGGCGCTCGTCAACATCCTTGGCATTGTCTGCATAACCACTGGGGTTGTCTATGTGCTCAACATGGGTGTAGCAGCCGAGTCGGTTTCGGGTAACGTCAAATTCATCCGTCGCAAAGCCAAACTCCATGAACCCCATTACCGAGACAATAGCGCGCAGAATGGGCTCGGGAACATTTTCGAGGCATGTGGTGTCGATGACCTGGGAAAAGTCGCGCAGCCAATTCCCAAAGTAGATTTGCTTGCGCTGCAGCTGAGTGAAACGGTGGTTGGTGATGAAGCTGAAGGGGAGGTGTCTGATGACCTCGGTAATGTCCCCATGGCGCCACACGTAACCCTTGAACTCGCTGCTCCCGGGCACCTCGCCGGCTCCAAATGCTGACGCTGGGCCGACGAGGAGGAGTAAGCAGACGATAATCACCAATACAAAATGAGTGGATGAGGGCATTCTCACAAGCTATCGCGTGCAGCTTCGGCGTCTTCAGAGTTGGTCTGATGTAGTCTGTGGTCATGTAAGTGGCGGTCGGACCTGAATCAATTGTTATATTTCCATCACATGGCATGGACTGCAAAACTGTCAGGCGACAAAAGTTAGGGCCCCCATTCGGGTTCGGTTCCATGGGCCAATAAAACTTTATGGGCGATCAGCCGCAGGTAGCACTGTGCCTACATACAGTGGCAAGCTTCCCCTTGCCCCCCCTCTTCCCCCCTCTTTCCCCCTCCCACGAAAAAAGAGAAGAAATTCAACAACACTAGCTCCAACACGCGGATAGAACTATAGGATCTGGTAGGATTGTAGCATAGTGACATTTCTGAATAGATTCAGGTCCATCGCTATCTGCCATACCATTCGCCTCTGATTTCTAACCACTACAATGGAAAGACAGCCATCAGACTTAGAAGGTGACTCGCTTCGAAATGACGCCGTGCAGCCTCGGATTAGAACGTTTTCGTACGTCTTACAGCCCATTGTAACCTTTTTCTTTTGTGACCTCAAATTATAGGGTCATAAACCAGTGGGGTCAACAGGTAATTTAGTGCAACACCCCGTCCGGTTTGACATTCGTCCAGTAAAGTGCATGCTTCCTGCTGTCATTACTAATTTTAAGGGCTTCGATGGGCTTAAGCAGGAGGAACGAACGCAGCTATCTAATGTCGAAGACCTTGTCAAAAGCGGGTGTGCTCTTCAACATTGCCCTACGTCCCTCAACCATTCACAATCGGTACTTGTCTATGTCCTGTCATTGGGGAACGTACAGTTAGGGCATTGTCATAACCTTGAAATTCAAGCTAGTCGCAGTTGTGCTAAGATGACAGCGATCGGGTTGAGCAACTGCGCATATAGGGGGCTTATACTCTGAGTTGATATACCCACATAATACTTCCTATGCCCTCATTGTGCCCATTGTGGCTTCTCTTGTTTCTAGCTACCTATTTCACCAGTGAGTAATTCCTCAAAATTACTTTCAATGGAATTTGTCCCAAAGTTCCAACTACTAGCGCCAGAAAATATGCCCTTGGTTGGCATTCCAAATGGTCGAATGTGACTTCAACAAGCCTTCTTTTGAGCACTCCATATGCCAATCTCCAAACATTCGCCCCCATTAGCACCTCGGTCGCGGACCAAATTTGTTCTCGCTTTGCTAAACCACTGATCCCAATCATCCTGGTTCTTATTGCTCGCAGGTTTTAACAAGGGCTCGAAAGCGTCGATAAGCCCGACGAGACATTCGAGAGCGGTATCCCGGACAGCCATTTGGTGCGGACTCAACACTCGCAGCTCTCCTTTTTGGCATTCCCACTTAATCTCGCTCAGAGGTATCGCAAGTCGCTTGGAAATCATGCCTTCCAAAGCCTCGGCTTCTGGGGTGAGGAAGCCCCCCAAGGCTGGTCCGATGACGGCACACGGTACAGGGGTGAGACCGAATTTGGCCAGGGCCTTGGTCAGCCAGACGTTGTACTCAACCAGATACGGATTCATAGCTGGACCTAACCTAGTGCTGACGTCCACAGGGTACACCCCGAGTGATGTCATGTCGTTGGTGGACGTGGTGGTCCCTGAGGCCTGGGGCTTCAGCGCACGAACGCTGAGATCCCGCTCCCAAACCTCTAGAGTGCCGCCAGGTCTTAGTAGGCGTAGGTACTCCCCCATGACTACCCCGTACTGAATATCTGTGAAGACCAGGGCCATATCCTTGGCCATGATCAGATCGAACGAGCCACTCTCCAACAGCCATGGCGCCTCCCGCATATCTTGCTGGATGTACTGCCAATCCATGTCCAATTCGGCATAGCTCGCATCCGGCGGGGATGGCGGCTTGATGTCAATTCCCACAAAGGAGACTTTGATTCCTTTTGACTGGAAATGCTTGTGGCACATTATACTCCAAAACCCCGTGTCGCAGCCTACCTCGAGTATCCGCCGTGGTGGCTTACGGGCCAACTCATAGGATAGGATGGGAGTGCCGTAGATTTCCAGCAGAAGAAGCGTCCACAATGATTGGCGGTCAGTTTCTTCTACATCAACAGGTAGTGGGTATACTAGCGTCGAGTCCATGTCGTCTAGGAACACGCGTGATCCTTTGGAAACAAAGAGTTCACGTGAATTTAGCTTGGCGCTACCTTCGGCATTCTTGTCCCACGCCATGAGGAGATACTCCAAAGAGGAGTTCAAATTGAAGACGGTTAGGGTCAAAGTTTCGGCATGACAGAGGGGGGACAAGACTAAGAGAGCAGTTTATCATCCACGCGAAATTACCTGCATGGTAAAAAGGGTGTGATTGTCGTGCTAGCACGCTCTTGTGCCGACAAAAGAAGATTGAAAGATCCCAAATGGGACAGAGAGGTCAATCTACTGATGTGTTGCTTGGGTATAGTGGGTCTGCTATCGGTGTTGTAACGTGTCAAGCGGGTCGGGCCGCTTAGCTGGTATCAGGGCTCCCAACTGGCACCCAATTACAGCCTTGCAATGTCTGTGGGAATAGTCGGTGAAATAACCGCGCTTGCCTGTCTTGACTGTCAAGCCGAACCTAGGTTGGATATAATCGTGGTATTTGGGGACCAAGTACATAAAGGTTGATCACACCATGCGCAAGCGACAGACCGGTCCTCGTCATATGACGGCAACAGCTCCGTGAATATATACCATACACGTCAAATTCACTTTCAAAACCAGCTTTCAAGCAACATGCAGATGGACGGGGATCGAGAAGCCATTTTGGCCCAAATCCGGGGTGGTCAAGTCAAAGTCCCGAACATGCAATCGTATTATGACCGCTATCGCCATGCCATCAGTCCATTGCTCAAGGACCTCACTCCATCCGTGGATGCTACTCTTGACAAATACGCGTCTAACGAAAAAGATCTACGCCGCGCCAAAGCTTCAGCCTTTGACGTATTTGTCGCGGCGTGAGTTGTGCAACCCGACCATTTCGTTCATGGTAGTGGCGAGCTAATATTGAGTCAACTTCCAAGCCAATGGCCGGACCCGGATCTGGAAAGGCTCGAGTTCTGTGCCATGTTCACGATCTGGCTGTTCTTCTGGGATGATGTTGTCGACCGTATAGACGGCTCGGAGCATCCGGAAGTAGCGAACAGCTTGGAACTTGGTAACAAGTATCGCGAGGAGTCGTACGAATACGTCAAATATCACCTTGGCTTCCAGACCGAGGGTGACAGCGAGCCACCATACGATAACCCATACTTGGAATTCTTTGCCATGGCCGCAAAGATCCTGACAAAAACTGCCGACAGGGACACGGCAGCTCGCTTCCTGCACGAGACCAACGAGTTTATCCGCTGTTGCGGGTGGGAGCAAGAGTGTCAACTGGCCGGCAAGATACTTCCCCTCGACGATTACGTGAACCTACGAATGGGCGGCAGTGCCGTGTATACCTATTGTGCTTTCGCTCCGTGAGTCGTTACTCCGCTCCCTATGGAGAGCCAGTACGCTTTTCATCTACTCTTCGGGTATTTCTAACCCTTCAGGTGGATGATTGGCGTATCGCTGCCCAAGGAAATTCTGGACTCGCCGCAGTTGCGAGCCGTTTGGATTGAGGTCAACAAGAACATTTCATTGTGAGATTTGCCGTGAAGCCTCGTTGTCTTTGGCCTATTGCTAACGAGAACCATCAGCTCAAATGACATTCTGTCCATGAAAAAGGAAATCGTGAGTTGTCCAACCATCTATGTGTGGTAATTACGTATACTTATTAGCAACCATTCCAGGCCGATGGCGAGTTTTTGCATCTCGTCCCCGTCCTCATGAAACAGTACAACGTGACCCTGGAAGTTGCAGTCGAGATGGCCGTGAAAGAATGGGCCGCGTGTTTTGATCGATTCGACAAGGCAGAGGCAGAGCTGCGAAAACTGGCATCTGGGTTCAGTTCAGCCATTCAGGAGGATACGGAAAAGCTTATCAGCTGTTTCCAGGCTGTCCAGTCGGGTTGTCAGTACTGGCACAAAAATACGAGTCGGTACGGCGTTGGTCAAGCGATGCATACGGATGGCTCACTGCTTATTACCATTTGATATGTGGGCAAGTGTGGCCTCAGGTATAGGGTTTACAACTCACCTAGGCAGCACTGGTGTATTTAGGGACCCACCCCCGGGGGGGCAAATTGGGCAGTTCGTCCCCGCACACCTTCATAATAACAATACAGCGCCTAATGTTCGGAATCTGACATGACTTACGAAAACTGACCCATTATGTCGAGATATCACGGTTGCGGTCGCCGAATTTGGCTGGCGCCTGTTGTTGAACCTTCAAGGCTAGTAAACCCGAATTGCCAGCTTGCGAGGACACATGGCCACCCATCGTAAGTTACGTTATGGGCCAATGTGCCACCACCCATCGTACCATACAATTTCTGCCTGTGGGGCAGGCATCGTTCGTTTCTACCTACTATGGTATGGCCACATTTCACTCCTTTGGGAATTTCCAGAGACGATCATACTTTCAATGCAATACAATTTGCATAATTAGACCAAAACTGTGACAGATTTTGATCTTCGTGGGTGTGCCGGTGGTGCTGCTGCTGCTTCAACCTACATAGTGGAGTGTGTATAACGTGACTACGGCACAACTGTGGTTAGTTATAACGCGAACACGGAATTAAGCTTACAGGAATGCTTTACTGGAGTCCACATTTACACATTTAAAGAAAGAGGCCATGTTACACGTGATCATGGTGAGAGGGAGACCTAAACCAAACTGCAAAGAATCGCACATCGGAACTGATAAGATGTCGTATGTATGGAATTCTTGCTATATATGAGACCGCAGGAGCAGGCCGTTAAGTTGACCGTCCCACCTTCGCTTGGCGTGAGTAGGGTCTGCGAGTCTATTGGGGATCTCTCGCCGCCATCAATCTCGAGAGAGTATGTGCCCGAAATGACGACGGCGATCTCAACCATCGCATGGAAACTGGCATTTGTCACATTACGAGTCAGGAGTAGATCTGCCAGAGGAGTTGAACCATTTAGAGGGTTTTGGAGATCGTAGGAAAGGGCCTTGCACTCCATGGCTCTCGGACCTGCGCGTGACATTTTGGCGGCGGCGGCGGCGGCGGCAGCGGCAGTAAAATGCGGTTGCGCTGGGCAGCTGGACGAACTTTGGCTCACTTTCCACACTTGAGTTTGCAAGTGGATTTATTATGCCGGCTGCTCCGAGGCAGTGAACTCTGCAGCTCTTGTGGGAACATGAAGGTGGCCGTCAGGTGGGAAGGTACGGCCAAGTACAGGGCTACAAAACCCCGCCTCAAACCAGAAGTAACCATCATAGATAAAGAAAAAAACACATCTTTTTTTGGCCTTCATATAAATCTCCGTCAATGCATCGATATACTCGCAGGGCTGATCCCACGTAGTGCGGGGCTTACGGTATCCAAAACCGTAATTCCACTTGCGAATAGCCCGTATCCCCGAGTACCAGACCAAAGGAGACATCGGCTCCCCTTAAATCCCACAGCTCTGCACCGGCTTTCCCTGAATGCTTTGACATTTGACACGTGGCGCCTACTAGCCTACTGCACGCACGCAGTGGAGGGTACATCATGGGCCCACCTACAATTTGGTTAGCAAATCGCGCTAAACCGCGCTTCTATGTCCACCGTGTTTTAATTTTGCCCGTTAAAAGATCTCAAGAACGAATATTATGAGGATCGGTCAAAACTCAGTTCCCAACTCACTTCACAAGAGCAATGTCATTGGATGCTGGGCCATTTCAAGCTCCGGAGCTTGACAGTTCAAGATTATGCATTCCGGCGGCTGATGATTGGAACGCTGATGAGACTGATATCAGAATTAGCTGTGTTGTTGGCGATCACGAGATTGCCGTGATTCGGCTAATCGAACTCTCTAGACCCATGATTCCCACCAGAATTACTTAGGGTACAACATATGTTGAGTCACCGAAACTGGTTATAACTGACTGCGCCAACCTTGAGTCTGGCACCGTGATCGGCAGTGGAGGCGTGCTTGGAGAGGTAATACCAACATACTGCTCCTTCAAGACGTGACCGATGCAGGGTGGCCGAGACGACACGATTCCAAAAGGGCCGAGAGCCATTGCTCCACTTCAAATAATCGGTTAGATCACCTTTGGCACTATAATAAGCACTCAATCGATAAGTCCATGACTTCCCAGGCCCAGTGTGGCCAGGTTGACAGGCCCGTGACCTTGGTCCGATCTGTTTTGCCACCTCACGCAGTTAGTGTTAGGCCTTGTAGATTGGGTTATTCATAGCGTGCGTCTATGTCTGGTTGGTTTCAACTTGTGGCAGTTTTGACGTCCCTGAACGAAGTGAAATGGGCAAGTAGGGCACAGACCACTAGTAGCTACTTGGTTTTCAAGGCGGGCCGTCCCTAACGCCAAAGGAGTCCCCCGGGGAGCTGTTCCTATCTTGGCGGGGCGGCATGAATCATTGGTAGCTCAGAACATGTCGCGCTATAAATGGAACGACACACCTTCTCGGTTGTTAACTTTTACCATGCTCAAAGTCTACACTACCCCGAAATCTCGTCCAGGCGCAATGTGCGCGGAACTCGGCCGCTCCCGGTAACGCAGAGGATTACAATATTAAGAGTAGTCGGTTTTGGGAGCTTGTGGACCACTGCCTCCGTAATCGTGCGGCCGAGGCTGAAATCTGGATTTGTTAAGCTGTCGCCTGAAAACTGCTATACGGTGCTGAAGCAGAGCCCGGTGCAGCACGCGACGTGGGCTCATTCGAATAAAGTGGTAGGCCGAAATTCGTGAACAGTCTTAATACAGGCCTGTTCGACAGAGGGGACATTCGGCATTTACGAATAGATGAGTCGAATAGCCATTTAGTAGTATCGACTGTGTTTACAAAACGCTGGCGGCAAAATAGATCATATACCCAGAGAGAGAGAGATGGAATGAGGATCTACTAGAACCGAGGCTTCCGAGCAAGTTATTGTGCTTCTTACAGCCGTGGGCCTTTTACAGACACGAGCCTGAATTGGCTTAACATGAGGCGACGTATCCCAGCAGACAGGGACTGAGCAAGGCTGGATGAATTAATATCTCTGATAAATCCATCCAGGCCAGTTCTTGTTCCCTGTGTTCCTCGAGTCTACGTAAAAGCCCGATCCCCACAGCCGTCCCGGCCATGATACGTCATACTGTGGTCGAGAGGCGACAGAGTCTTGAGCTCATCGTAGTCAAAAGTCGTTAGAGCCAAGTCTGGAGATCCGACATTTGATTGGCATCTGTTCCTTGCCGATCTGCCCATGGAAAGAGGTGGCTCTGGGAATATTGCGACATGCGTCGAGCCGCTCTAAGATTGTCTTGGCCTTAGCGAGGCTCCTGTACACACATAAGAGAGAATCCGCTGATGAGGAATCGGTGTAGCAAGGTGGTCACCAGAAGGAGGACGCCTACGATGCGTAACACAAGGGCAGCGTACAGGGTTTTGTTCGGTTTCAGCACGATTTAAATGTACGAATAGACTAGTTGGATGGACCGCGTACCTCTGACATTCGTATAAGAGTATTATGTCCCTCTCCTAATTCTCGCAAAGACCATGGTTCATGTACAACACCACTGACCATTGGCCGCATATGGATGAAAATCCGCTGGCAATTTTTAGCGTCAAGCGCGCTCAGCTCGTTCCTATAGATGACTGGCCCCCTCGCTCGTCTGTTTCCATTTCAGTTTTGTTTCGTATCGATCGAACCTGCAGCGCTCCCACATTCACTCTTTCTGCGGAAAGGCTTCAGTGAACTACATGTAGATATTCTTCCATAGCAGCTCCTGAGTCATCAGATAGATGAGAAGGTCGAGTTCTCTAAGCGTAAAAGTAACTCTCGTTGCAATGCCACGGTTCGTAGAGGGACGCCTTGCGTTAAAAGTTTCTATTCACACGATCTTCGCATCTGTAACTCTCATAGGAGTCCCATGTTAACTGTAGCTAGTGTCGTGACAGCTAGAAAGTCACCAGGTCGTTCACCGTTGCATGCGTCAGAACTGCATTTTCGAGCGGCGGTTCCTCGAATTTCGTCACGGAGGCCTGGGCAGCCCCTTCATCGATGAAATCATGAAAGGATTGCAAGCTGTGGACGCTGTGCGTGCCGGAGCGCTTCTGGCCAAGTCCTGATGTTTGAACTTGTTGCGATCGAGTGGCACTGCCGTTCGAGCGAGTACTCGGGTATGAGGTAGGCAGGCACGCATTGTAGTATTTAGGGACCGCTTGGAGGCGAATTCACATTAGTCCCCTACGCACCTTCGTAGTATTAATACCGTCCCCGGTCGTTAAAACCCGATATATACCGCTTTTATAGTGAAGTTTATTTTATTAGTTATTGTAGGTCCTGTGGGAAGTTGTGGCCTCAGTGTGGAGGAGTACAAGGCAGGTAGGCACACGTTGTAGTATTTAGGGACCCCTCGGGGCCAGCTTGGGATTGGTCCTTCACGCACCTTCATAGTACCAATACAGCCCCTAGTACTTGGATTCCGACAGTTCCATATTAATTTTATTATGAATAAGGGATAGTTAACTAGCTAATTACTACTAACTCCAAGTTAACGTAGGATTGGAATATGGATAGAGGCTGGTGTCAGACCTTACAACAACCAACATGACCACATTCTGCAACAAGTGGGTCCCTCATCTTTTGATGGTCATTTGTTCCAATATCTAGCATCAAACTGTAATTATCCTTGCTGTCGTATCGGAACAGCTTGTTCTCGACAAAAGCCGGGTACCGCTTGCGGCCGTAAGATACCTCCCCTCGTGTCCGGGTGATCATTGTCGGGAAGACACTGCTGCGATCAACGCCCCTGACAATCCACCCATCATCCAACTTTCCGCTTCCTCAAAATAATCCTGGCCCTACCGCACGGTTCTACCAATGTGACTTTTCTCATGCCCGGTGGCCGTTCCTCCACCCTCTCGAAATTATAATCCATAATCAAATGCCCCAACGCAACCTTCTGCAGGTTCGACGCGAACCACCGTCCTGAGCACGCTGGTCTTCCCAGCCCGGAGCTCAAGAAATCTGGGAAAATGGTGGTGATCTTGGGCCTGGTCCGGTCCTGCAGCGCCCGTTTGGGGTTGAACCCGTCGGGATAGTTCTTGGCATCGTGTTGGATGGCCTTGAGTGGGACGGCAAGTGTCGCACCCCGGAGAACGTGCAATCCATTGAATAAAGTGATTCCATCCTTGCTCATGATGGTGCGCTCGAAGCCAACCTCGCGGATGGGGTTAGCGCGGAGACTCTCGCGGACGAACGAGTCCCCACGACCTCGAGGCGTGTAGTCGAGTTGGGCGTTGGGGTCCTTGTGGGCTACTTTGATGGCTGTGCTGAGGTTGTTCTGCAATGCGATGTTAGACGTAGGGCCGGCCGTTTTGTGAGCGATGGGAAAATGGGGACATACCGGTAGATTGGACTTGAGCCCCTTTTCTCTAATTCTTCAAGCATCCGCATCCGCTCTTTGATGACTCGAATGGCATTCTTGGCCGCTATATACCCGTCTCTCGTAGTGGTCTTCTTACCCAAAGGGTCAGCAATCTACAACCATGCCAGTGTACATTCTGAAGCAGCTAGATTGGGAAACTTGCGGTCGAAGAAACGCAGGAATGAAACGAATATACACGGCTAGCGAAAATATATTCACCGCATAATGCACCGTCACATCCATGTACTCGTGGTTGCGGCATAGCGGCTCTTCAATAATGATCCTATTACTAGTTCGTGACAAGAACTTTGTGGCTGTGGCCCACATGTTGATCTTCATCTCGCTGTTCTCGTCAAGTTGCGATTTCAGCACGTCCTCCATGGCAGCCATCATCTCCTCGCTCATCATAACCATCTTGACGGGTAGCTTCTTAAACAGTTCACGGTAGACGATGGGCTTCTGCGTGTTGTTGTCGAGCACCTTGTCTCCGAAAAGTGTATACCTGGCGTGCATGACGTCTCACACGTACGTGTTGAACGATACAACGTTTTCAGGTTGTCTTGCGTACTCGTCAATGAGCTCTAGAGGAAGAAGGAGCATTAATCCAGTATTGAAGTGCGGGAATGGGATGAGGAAGACTTCGCAACCTACACATAGCTATTAGTCAGCGGTTTTCGCTTGGCCCTATGAAGGCTACTGGCTCACCTTCTCGTACGCTGCCACGAAAAGCCCTCCAGCATGGAATATGCACTCGTATGCCACTAAGAAGAATTGCAGGAGTCCCCGCTGCCATTTGACCCACTAGAATCCTTCATACATGGGTGAGAACAAAGCAGACAATGCAGGTTCCATAAGATGCAGCAGCCATACTACCACCATCGCCGCTGTAGCGTAAGCCACAGTCCATGGTATGATGACTTGCCATATCTCCAGACTACCAAATGACAGAGACATCTTATCAGACTTTGACACAATCACAGCATGGAACAATTTGGATTTCCTCGGGGAGACTAGATGCTTGTGTTTCCCGCCTCTCACAGTCGACGCGAAGGATTTTGCTAGTCGTGCTGACGGGATGTTAGAGTGCTAGATACAGAGGCACCGGTTGGGCGCCGGTGAGACGCCGGTCTAAAGACTCAGGAGACATGACCTAATATAGAAGTCTTGGTATATTAAGGAACCGGAGGACCTAGTACCCTGCTGGTCCGATATCCGGGCTCGGCTTCTCCGAATACGGGGACTAGCTATCTATGTAAGGGAGATATCTCGGAGGAAGATAGGAAGGGCAGAGATCAATGAACCATTCTGGGTGACCCTACCTGACACCACCAGTGACCACCCGGTGACCAGCAGTAGAGGTGACCGTTTCTTCCCCTTTACTCTGTACTATTGCCTGCGGCCTAGCTGTACCCTGACACGGGAAGTCAGAGGGATAACTGCAGTCCGGACATCCTCTACAGAATACGTATGTCCAACTTGCTAGCTTCGTTTTGCGAATTCGCATAGGCCCTTGCAGCGATTACAGATAATAAAAAGTAAAGCTTGATCGTTCTCAACAACTGCGAGGTGATGGTTACTGACAATGCGAGTCGTACCCAGCCTACGATAAGTACAGAGATGTCCCAGCGGCGAGTCGCCCACGATGGTGGATTTGGTGGGTTTGGATATACTCCTTACCTTACACAGTTTCGAGAGGCGAAATCACTCGTCGCCGTGTGCATGGGATACATCACAGCGGACACGAACATGTTCTACTTCTGTCATGACAGCAAGTGGACCATCTTCAGTGCCTCGAGTCTTCTCTTCGCGCGAGAAGTCTCGGTCTCAGTGTTCCGTACCAGTTTTCCGCGAGACGGCATGTGATGCATCGTGGAAGATGCGAGCGACGGCATGAGGACACTGCCAGTGAGACTTTGCAAGAGCAACACGCTGTTTTTCATGGTCGTAATGGGAGCCATTTTCGTTGCTTTGAAAACTAAAGGCTTGGTTATAACTTGGTCTGGTGGCATTCAGGTGAACCAGCGATTATTTCTGGGGGCTGTACTGAGGGTTGGCGTGACCATGGGTGCTTATGCCAAGATATTACAGTATCCCAGAGGAAACTGTCTGGCTTGGGGCGCCATGTCGTTGTTGGGACTTTACCGGCAGTGTGAGCGCAGTTGTCTTGGTGGCTGATACGTAAAAAGATAGTTCATCAGGGGAGATGACTCCAGCTTATACAAATCAAGACTCGCTCTCCCAGTGGGGATAAGGCATATGAAGGTCGCGAGATCAGAAAGGATCTCCTTGTCGGAGCGCTCATCGACTGGTTCCATGGTTATGGTAGCATGGCGTTCAAAGGCGCTTTCAATCGCGTAGGAGGGGGATGCCTGACTTTATAGTGCTGTGGCGTGGTGGGGTCATTACTTCACATCCAAGCCACGCCTGCAGTAGCGACTGATTCTGTGAGCTACTACTTCAGTAGGCTATGGAGATGGCACCTTGTTACCTTGGCCGAAGTATTCTCCGGCAGTGCCTAGGTTCAATACAGACGCGATGTTTTGTAGCAATGAGTGACACGGCAGTGAAACAATGAAGGCACCTGTTTAGCGACTAGCATGGTAGGCTTGGCCATGTACTTAAGCGTTCACTGAATGACAACGCAGCGAAACCACGCGAGGTAATTGAATGGCTTTATCTTGGTTCGAATGATGATACCGGATATCAATGCGAATATATCGCTGGAGACTGGCTGGCGTCACAGCGCTAACAGGTAGCAAATCCGGCCGACGGGCTGGAGAAACTGGAGCCTCTGCAATTCGTAACCCTTGCGAATTCGAAGGTTGTGAGGCTGGTACCTTTCCCACTGCCAGGAGGATGGATGTCAAGCTTCATTCGCAACAGGTATGCCATTCTCCATAATCTTGTGTCCGGCAGCATTATAAGTCGCCACACTGAACGACTCAAAATCGGACCTATCCTGCAGGTCCTCCTCACTCATTCTGAGACCTGCCAAAACGCCATGTCCGACCTTAGGCCAGGCGGGCGGTACGGAATCGGTTGAGGACTCGCGCGTGGCTTGTTGTGCGTCGGCTTCGGCCTTGGTGCTCGATATCCGGTTTCCACCGTCCGAGCGGCCGTTGGACAGGTAGGGGGTATCAGGGTTTGCTACCGAGTGGCTAAAGTTGATAGGGCCGCTCCCGGGGCTTGGCTCAGGTCCAATAAATAAGCCCTCGGAGGCACCCGATCCTGCATATATAGTGGAGGAACCAGGCCGTTTCAAGGATGCGCCGGGATCCTGGGCGGGGAAGACAGGAAGATCGGGGTGGAGCTCAAGGCTGTACATGACGAGGTTGACCAGCTGTCCTTGGGGAAGGCTGGACAGGTATGCCCGTTTCTGGTCTTGTCAGAAGACACTGCGTGAAGCATGGTCAGGATGCAGGAACTCACCTGGTCCGCACTCTTGGCCGCCCAACTCACCGCCCTAATAATATCGACCGACTTCTTCTTGGCCGCATGTTTCTCCCTCTTGGACGCGCACATGCGGCAAAACCAAGAGCGAGTCTCATCGCTAACAAACTCATCGTCGATAATAGGGTCGTGACACAGCTGGTGCCAGCAGAAGTTGCAGCCGTCGCAAAAGACGATTTGATTCTTCAGTGGGCTCAGTCCTCGGGTGCACACCTTGCAGAGTGCCTGCTCGGGTGTCCTCTTGCTGTAGTGCTTCCGCTTGCCCGGCGCTGCGGCGGTGGCCGGATTGTACTGGGTGGGCTTGAGGATGTGGCGGCCCGACTTGGTCATGGTGGGGGTGGATTGGTCCTGGTAGGTGTCGTCATCGTCAACTTCCTCGGGCTCCGATGCATCGTCCTGTTCCTTGATGCGCTTGCGCTTGGGGCCGCCCGGCTTGGGAGGTCTGCCTGGTCCTCGCTTCTTGACGGGTTGGAGGCCAGCTCTCGCAGCAGCAACGTTGCCCGAGCCCGTTGCTGATACCCCCAGACCGCTCTGACTCGTGAGCAGACCAGAAGACGAAGACGATGACAGGCGCGCTGAAGGTGCAGCAAGGGGGACAGCAACGGTGGGCATGGGCATGGTCAGCGTGGTGTTCATGTTCATGACGAGGCGCCTCTTGGCGTCTTCGTAGGTGGACTGCTTGATTGCACCTGCGGCCGAGGCGGTGGCAATGGCGCTGTTGATGCTGCTCGTCTCCCCTTGGCGTATGCGCTTGAGGATCATCTCGGTAGCGGCTGAGAACTGAGGCACGTAGGGACGGGCCTGGGATCCGGTCGAGCTGGGTGCTGGACTTGACGCGGCTGGCACAGCGGTAACGACAGGGGCAGCACCCGCAGCAATGACAATTTGGTCGTCTTGTTGCAAGGGGGTAGGGATGGGCGTCTTATCGCCATTGTTACCCGTCGATGGTTCATCCACGTTGCTTGGTGCCATTTTAGAAGAGATGCGACCATGTGTTTTTTCAATCTTCAGGTTTGCATGCGGCTGCACTTGTGTGGGCGAACTGTCACGGCCGAGCTGGCTCCTAGGAGTGTGGGAAATGGTTAGCTGTGCCTTCGCTTCCCATGCTTTGGGGCAGTCAGGGGTTGCTTACCACACCCCAATCAATCCAGTTGCAATGCGCACCACTTTGCACTGACGTATTTGCGAAGGCAGAATTGCTATCCACTCATTACGATGCTGTTTGCAGAAAGATACGTGGTAGAAACGGCTAAAGATGAGGTTGAAATTGCCCTTCCACGTGATATTCACGTGATACCTCTGACGCTGTTGTTCTTAGCTTCGCCCTTGAACCCACGGCGCTTCCCTCCAACGTGCTTTCTAGCTTGAGCCGTTATCATCACAGACGTGCTGGACAGACGATCAGCAGCAGCAATGTGGGATTGCCAGCGATGATGGCAACTAGGGAGAGGTTTGGAAGTTACGGGCGACAATCGGAAGAATCATGCCTGGAGGCTGAGGCTAGCAATGCCCAATGGGGTATTTACAGGCTGCGCAGGCTCGGCAATTGGTACATTGGGAGCTGGAGACTATTTACTCGACTATCGAGGACCAGTATGCTTCTAGAGTTGGTTCAAAGCACAATCAACCAAGTTCCAAAAATCAACTACGCCGAACGTCGGAACCGACGCCGTTTCCCCACTCCAGATTCCGGAGGGCGACTCAGCACAACCGCTGGTTCATGTCAATAAGCTACATTTTTCGCGTCCAGTATACGTGTCTGCGCCGTACGCAGCCCGATTTTGTGTTGCAGATTCGTGATTTCTGGCAGCTATAATGCGGAACGTTTGTTTGATCGGCTGTGGCGCTGTAGGCACCATCGCAGCCTACGTGCTAGAGAAATCAGGACAGGCCCGTGTTACGGCCATCTTGCGATCCAACTATGATGCTGTGGAGGAGAAGGGTTTTGATATTGATTCAGTAGACCATGGAAAGATCCAGGGCTGGAAACCAGCCAAAGGTACACCCCGATTCTCGTCAAACCCGCCTGTCTCACTAATTCGAAACGTTTCAGTCCTACCCTCGATATCCGCTGCTGCACCACTCAAAGCAGAAGAACAGTATGACTTCGTTGTCCTCGCAATGAAAGTCCTCCCCGACACAGTCCCTCCACTGGTCACTGACTTGAAGTCTCTCATAGCCGAGAATACTACCCTTGTGCTTCTCCAGAACGGTCTGGATATCGAACAGCCTCTTGCGACAGCATTTTCCCAGACAATCATCCTGTCTGGTGTCAGCATGATTGGCTCGCGCTTAACGTCTCCATCTTCCATATTTCACGAGGACCCCGATATTCTCAAGCTGGGCCCCTATTTTCATCACGAGGAATCCCTGCCACGTACCGTGCAACTAGACGCCGCACGTCACTTTGTCGGTCTCTACAACCTCGGCCTAGCCGACGCCATAACTCGAAATACAGGCGCCGAATGCATCCTGGTTGAAGATGTGGTCGGCGCTCGCTGGCGTAAACTCCTCTGGAACGGCACTTTCAACACCCTGTGCACGCTTCTGCGCATCTCGGTCGGCGAACTGCTGCGTAGCCCAGGACGAGTTTCATTGTTCGAGGCTGCGATCCACGAAATGGCCGCCATTGCCACCGCCGCAGGGTACGGGGAGTACGTGACCGAGGACATAATCCAGGAGACCATACGAGGCACACCGGAAAGCAGCCCATTTCGGCCTAGCATGCTCGTTGATTTTGAGAACGGCAGGCCGTTCGAGTTGGAGATTATATTGGGAGTTCCCTTGAGAATTGCGGTTGATTTGGGCGTCAACACACCTGTTTTGTCAGGGGTTTATGACATGTTAAAGGTGGTGTTGTGGACTTTGGAAGAGCGTTCCCGCCTGAGTACGTAGTACCGTAAAGAACACGCCGAGGACAAGAAAGTTGCACCAAGGAAAGAGTTCAGGGTCGGCACTGGCCCGATGAGCTTGAAAAATATACGTTGCCTCAATGAGATTATGCAAGCAGACTGCTTGAAATTCGTATGAGTAAGGGGTGAATGTGTTGTGTTGCTTAGCAGCATGCCGACCGCTGTGCAAAGTCATAGTGCGGGCTCCGGGGCATGTTTCCGAGTTACTTTGGTCTCGGCTATGATCGCGTGGGAATCTTCGTCCGTTCCGTACAATCATCACATTCTCCGTGGTACTACTGTTGAAGCCCGTATTACTATCTGGCTTGAGCTCTGGTTTCTGATTCGACTTTCTGCACTTGACTTTGCTCCCTTTCTTCGGTGTCTCGGACTTTCATTCGTTTTCGGGCCTCTTGTGGCTTCCCCTGTTCGTGCTGTTCCCGATGCTTCCTCTTCTCTGGGTTCCACCATCTCCCAGCCATCTGGCCGAACTCACTCAAGTCAGAGTGAGTGTCAGGTCGTTACCGTTGTGATAATGGCCGCAAACAACTCTTGCCACCCTTCCTCATGATCTTTCATGTTGTTGTAGCAATATGTGTCTTTTATGCTGCAAATATTATGTGTGCACGCACAAGTTTGTGAATCAAGGTATGCATCATTGTTTCAAAACTGCGAAGCCTACCCATTACCACGAGAATGTATCTCACGAGAACAGTTCGTAAACCCCCTGCTTTAGAATCAGTTATTCAGTTCTTTAAGATTCTCCATTTTGATCGGCATCCATTTTCCCCTTTCGCACTTCCGCCATCAATGGCCCCTTTGCCAGCGACTGAGTCATACAGAGCTACGATCCAATCTTTTCGACAAGAAAGTTGGTTCCTTTGCGCCATAAATTATCGATAGAGCTTTTGCGCGAGAATTCCCATGGGCAAGCTTCCAGTTTCGTCTTGACTTTCATATCAGATTTATGGCCTTTATCCGTCAAGTCTCAAGTGAATCGGGCATCTATTTCAAAGATGAGTGTCTTGGAAACACCTTGGTGGACTTGCCAGCCGGGTGGCTGTCCCCGACGCGGGTTCTTTGCTGGGAAAGGGAAGGTTTAGGCTGCTCATCAATAAATTTGTGAGACCCATCGCCATCGCCGCTACATGAATTTTATGTAGCTTCTTGTAGTCTCGGGCAAATGAATCTCACGGCATAGTCCACAGAACCCTTTGAAACTATTACTTAAACCAGTGAATGCCTCTCACTGTTGTTCTTTACGTCGTACTAGAACTTCTCCTGTTCTTACCGTACTTTCTTGTCCTCACTATCTGCTGCCACCAGATTTTGCCAATGACATAGGTCAAACTGATGTACGGTCACGATATTATCCGTGATATTCATCGAAAGGTGCTGCATAGTAGCGAGCGCTCAACTAAAGGCAGGTAGAAGCTCTGAAAACGAAGGCCACGCATAGATTAGCCTCCCTTCCATGCAATTTTGAAAAAAAACTTCATTACTTGAAAATATCCTCCTGCTTCACTTGTCAAGGCGGAGTAGCCAACCTTGCCTAAGCTGACATCCACGTAGCCGAGAAACCTTTCGTCCTTTCTGTGACTCCATGGGTACAGCCAAACACTTCGTCCCGCTCCTCGCCTTCTCTTTCCTCAGTTACAATTTCAATAGTATTCACCTCGTTCCCTTCCAATCTTCCCAGCATTGAGCAGTATCGTTGCACAGGGAACGTTGGCAAGGATGTACTAAAACATCTACAGACGTCAGTCAGCCGTTGTGAGCAACTTGGCAGAGGTGTGCCATGAAGGACCTGGTGATAGATAGCAGAACAGAACAAGAGTTAATTAGACAGTACGACGAAACACACTTGAAAGAACACACCCAGCTTGCACATCATATCTTGACAAGATGCCACAAGGTTCATGTGACAGGTCAATCAACCAGTGATCCCACCCACTTTGAGCCAGTTGCAAGCCAACAGGGCCGCCGCCACCTCGACCCCACAAGCAGCTGTCAGTAGTTCCTATTTGGTTCTCCCACCAGACGTGGTAGTTGCGATGTCAATCTTATTTTATTATTGTTAATCTAGCCACGGCAGCAGCTGTCAAGAGACAGGCTGTCGATTAAGTTAGGCCATGCCATGCCCCCATAGCCATCAGTGTCGGATGAAGCTCTCTTGCAGGGTGCTACTGACCATGAGAACGTCAGTTCGAGCAAGAGTAGCCTCTCAAACGTTGACATATCCCATGGCGCCTACTGCCGCAGCACGTGCCAGTACTATTTCCCATAGTCCATCATTCTTCTTCTGCATTTGCCCAGTGTCAATTTGCAGGTATTTCCATAATGTAATCCATCCTCCGTATTGGTTTTCATGCCGTCATAAGAAATAATAGAAAAGCGCCCATCTTGGTCGGGAACAAGTGGAAAGAAACGCAAGAAACCCACCCTCAACATGAAACCAGTAAGCGCAAAGCCCGCAACCCAATTGCCCCTTTTCTTCTACGTGCCAGAACCATGATGACATGTCTAAAGGGTCATTCTAGTTCCGTTCAGGTGGCGATGGGACGAGACCCGGACACCTCGTGGCCAACTCCGACGAGCGTCTTGGATCATACCACGGAAGCATCGTACATTTTTCGATCGCAAACCAAATGACCACGTCGAATGCGAAACAGAACAAAGCAAAACAAAGCAACATCCCCAGTGTTTGTCCCCAACCCTATGCATGCGTCCTCAATGCTGTGCGGCCGATTGCCGACTGGTTTTCCTTTCTTAAGCCCAAAAAACCAAACGGCAAAAATGAGGCATTCCTCCACATGTCGAAATATGTGTTGCCCAGTGTTTCAATAACATGCCAAGGTTCCTGCAACCCCGAGCCGCCAAGCCATTCAAAAAGAAACACCGGATGAAGTGAACAAATTCTTCGTGGCGGCGTCAACACATTGTAAAGTGAACAGAAATGATCGTTCGAGCAGTCGTTGTTGCGCGCGATATAACGACTAGGAGGTCGGAGGACGAACGGTGTGAAGGCCAACGTCGTGTAGCGTTTTCACAATGGGCAGATTGCCACATTATGGCCGATTTGGGTCTATCCTCCGTCGCTCGGGAGACCCAAAGAAAAAGAACGATGAGCGACTGGACGACGGTGCTAACAAGATGCGCCCATCTCTTTTTAAACGCCTTGCAAATCCACAATTTTACCACCCAACCGTATAAAAATGCGAACCAATTGAATCTATTGGAATGATGAGGAAAAACAAACTCCTGGCCGTTGGGGAATTACCGGAACCGATTAACGCCGATTATAATGATTACTGAAAGTGAAAAAGTCGTAAATCACAGGAAGGAAGTCGACGTCATTAGGTCACGCAAGTCCAGAGCGTGGTCGAAACGATGGGTTCGCGAAACAATCCTATCGATGCAGCGACGACTCGCGAAATAGGTTCTCCGGGGGACACGAAAGTCGACTTCGAATAGTGAAGAATAACGGGATTCTCGAATTAGTCTCGTTGAAGGATGTCGATCCTGATGATGTCTGTCGGGAACTTTAAGAGGGGTATCTGAATGTCAAATGTATGTTCCTGAATATGCCGGAGAAAATGTCCAAGTGGACGAAAGCCATCAAAAGTGGTAGCGTGAACGACGACTGTCCACACGTAGTAGAGACGATGGTGTGCCGAATGGCTTGACGGAGTCAAGATGGAACACACCAAGAAAGTGAATGGCTGCCTCTTCTTTCTCGAAAATGTGCGCTCAGCCCATGACGGGCTGACCATAGTGATGTTGGTGATGGAAGTAGTGAGGGTTCTTGTGGAGAGTCGCCATGCACTGCGAACAGTTGCAGTCGGCAACGCTGGATTCCCATGAGTTTTGACCGCCATATTGACCATAGAAGGGCTGCTGGTAATGGGCTGATCCTCGGTGGTCATTGAAGTTGTTGGAAGACTGATAGCCTCGATTGTAGTTGGCCGCGACAGCTGAGTTGAACCATTCATTGTATCGGGAATTAACCGACGCTGCTGAGTTGAGGTAGTCGGGCGTACCATAACCAGAGTCGGGCGGTGTCAATGGTGCAGCTTGCCACGAATTCTGATACTGGTATGACTTGCTGTTGCGGGACAATCGAGCACGCTCGTGATCGGTTATCTCCTCGGGCGTCCAGCCTTCATACGCGCGAGGATGGTGACGCATCGATGTAACAAGGGGCGTGAGTCTCTCGCTGCGTTGCTGCTGGGCGAGATGTTCGCGCTTCTTCTCACTCTGCCAATTCTTCCAGTGCGCGAGCCAAGCCTTGTAGTCACCACTCTCGTCCAGGTTGACATACAATCTCCAGTCGTTATCCCGGAGCCAACCGTTTTCCATGGTGTTGAGCTCCTGCACGGGAATGCCGCTGACCTCGGACCAGGACCGGTTCTGGAAGGTGTTATCGTCGAGAAACTTGCTGCCCAAGAGTAGCGAGACTGTGAGCATTCGCCAGACCTGTCCTTCATTCGGCTTGAATGGTGCAGGCGCTGCCTGGAGCTGATTGACTCTCTTGGAAAGATAGTTCATACCCAACAGAATCGTGGTGCTTGGGAGTCTGGTTGAAGTGAGAACTTGGGAGACGAACTTCCGGAATGCACCAGTAACCAAGGGGTGATCTGGTAGGACAATCCGCATAGCCATCTCAGCGACATACTCGGCCATAAGCTCTACCTCGTAATCGAGGACCGCACAAACGCCGCCTGGCATTTTGTCGATTGGGGGATACTCCGTCAAAGGTCGCCGTTACCTTTGTCGGAGAAGGTGAATCGGCTTCGGGCTCGTGGGGATTGTGATCGCACGGTTGCGAGAACGATCAATCGCGACGCGCTTGCTGTGGAAGGCCCAGGACTTGATGTGAGGTTTCGCGAGCGAAAGAGTGGTCGGTGGAGTTTATTGAGATGCTCGAGCCATATGAGGGTGATGTTGTCGTGGAGAGATGGGAGTTAATCCTCGACGTCTCGAGCCTCGAAGGGAAGCCGCTGCAACGGCAGGGCGGGAAGAATGAACTCGTAGGGTATTGCTGGTGGGAAAACTCTAAAGCACTGTTCGGTTCCGGTACAAAGTCAGTAGGGGGGCTTTATTATGGCCTGCAAATTAAAAATGAATTGAACCAAGTCTGTGCCGCTGGCCTGCGACGCGGAGCTTTGTTGTGGAAAATGTAGAGAGGGTACATGGACTCGAGTCGGAGGTGCGAGCCGAAAAACATCCCATGGTCCAGGTTTGGAGAATGTGAGGATGGTCAATCATCATGTTATGCAGTTGCAGTCAAACGGCAAACGATTGTTGGAAACATTTGTTGTCTTAAATTGTATTGAGCGAAGGCGCGCCAGGGTTGATGCGTTTTTGATGACCGGGATGCGATGCCATCTGTCAAAACAGTCGGAAACTTGTACCGTGTCCAGGACTAGACAGCGTTTTTTTGTGGTTTGAATAGCAGAGGGAATCCGTCCATTGGGCGATGACGAGTTCATAAATGCAAACGGTTTTGACACGAGGTGAAGAGTTGAAAGTACTAACCTGAAGTCATGGAAAAAAAAATGCAGGAAAGAAAGTTGCCCAGTCCAGGAGGCTGCAAATGTGCAGAGCTTTTGAAGTTGCGAAAGTGATCGTGATGTTGGGCGAGCAGAGCACTTTGGCAGGCAAAGAAAGACCTGGTTCGTGGTCGCTTGTAGGTGACCGCTACGGACCTTCTCCAAGTCGACCTGGACTCTTCAGACGCTCGCACACTGGCAGGCACTGCACACAGCACAGGCACTCTTCTGGCACGGGAGCACAACAACCAGAAGCCGGCTGAGTCTATGTCTCGAGTCTGAGTGAAAGTCCGAAACGGGCTAAGAGCTCTCTCTCCTTGTTGCTTGCTTGTTTTCGTTTTTTCCGAGCAGGCGAGTTGTAGGAACCTGAATCCTGACGTCGACGACCTCCAAAAGCTGGTTTTGGTCGAGGTCGCGTATGAAGTATTGACAAGCGAGTCGCGGATATCGAGGTGTTTGGGGAGACTGGGGGAGAGAGGGAGAGTGTCGGGAGAGGAGGAGGTAGTGGAAGGAAGATAGGAAAAACGGTGGTGGTTGAGGATGATGATGGTGGACTGATTTGAGGGCGAAGAAAGAGCGAAGGACCCATCCAGCACTGCGCTTTAGTGGGTGGAGGAGGAATGACCCACTGGCCACCGACCAGGTTACCAGGGCTCCAATTCTGCTCCAAGCTCTGAACGGCGCGTGTGGGATTGGGGGGCAATTGGGCCGGGGTGACATTGACACACTTTGCTCAACAACCCTGAAGCGTCTCCATGGTGGTGTTAGGTGTGCTGGGTGGTGCACGCCTGGCAAAAAAAAAGGTACAAGAAAGCGGACCGACATTAATTTTTTTCCCTCAACTTTGGTCACTGCGCAGGTGCATCAAGCGCCAGCAGCCCCCCCCCTGGAGCAAAAACGGAGTAAAACGGAGGTGTCATGCTCCCATTTCTCATTCTCCACCCCACAAACTGTGCGCTTGTGGAAGTTTGGTTGCCCAAAATCCACTTCTTGGTCTTGCTTCTCACGCGCCATCGAGTTATTTTTTTCTCTACCAAATTGACCTCTGGCTTGGCAGTATGGAGCAGATCACCACCAGGCACAAACTATGATAACTTTGACGATGTGCAACCAGTACAATGATTGCACATGAGTCGCAGTTGACAGCCACCACGAACTATACGAACGAGGTAGTACTCCCAGAGGAGGTGGTCGGCCTTCATCAGTCGTGTTTAGGGGCGACTCAGATTGATTGCTGCATGGTACAAATCCCTGGAAATCTTGAATGCACAATTTCACACAATCAAATTCCCATGCCTTACAGGGCTCCAGTCGATATTGGGCCACCAGTAGTTCCTTTGCGGCTTAGCGTAACCGCTCCAAAGGCACCACCAATTGTTTCGCAGGGTGCACCTTCCACCTCACGTTCCCGTTTCTTCTGCTGCAGGCCTTACCCCAGAAGACCTACCAGAGCACGCCGTTTCTCGGAACAGCATGTGGAAGTACCGCAAAAGCATGTTGAGAGAGAGGCATTGACCCAAAAAGGAAGCAGCAGTTCGTCGAGGTGGAGGAGGTACGGGCGTGTGCCGAACTTTCCCCACGGAGTGCCAGTATCCGTCGAACACAGACAATCAACAACTTTTCCTTGAATCTGGTAAATCAGATTGTCCCACTCACAACTACTACTACTACCTGCTGGATGAAAAAGGAACCTTTGATTCGTGGAACGGACCTAGGTTACTCATCTCGGAGCCACCAACAGCAACTCCTCCTGTTCTTTTAGCCAGCGAAATGACGCGTTGAGACCTGGCTATGCTGGCTGGAGCTCGCAATGTTACGCTCGATACACAAAGACATATTTGGATAAACGACCGTGGTTGAACGGAACGACGACTTCGTGGCGAGGTTCCAGTTGTGCCAATCACGTGCTGCTTGGGCCATGACACCAAAACCCTCAATTTTGTTCGATATTCTGCTCTGCTCCAATCAACGCTTATTCCCACTCCCTCGTAAAAAGTACGAAACCTTCAGACTCATCACAACGGCCTGGATGACATTGCTTTCTCGTCATCCGAGAAGCCATGAAGCATTCTTGGTCATGGCTATACCCATCATCAGACACGTTCCGTTCCGAAGGCTGTGCCATAACATCAGCCAGCCAAGCCTGCCTCATGACTTATTTACTGAAGCGCTTTCCGCTCCTCCGTACCTTAATAAGTATGAGATCAAGACATTTTGACTTCGTCTGCCGCATGTGCGTGGACGTGCAAGTCAGCACAGCCAGTTGCCAGACGGGAATCGCATAAGCAATTATGCATGGGCTGGTGTGCAACAGGACAAGGGTGTGGCTTGAAATCAACTGCACAAGTTCCGCTAAGGGAACTAGATCGTCGGCACCAGCACCATAGCATCAGCTATCAGCCTTGACGACCTGATACAATCGTGTTGGTGGGAAGCTCATCCGTCTGACAATATTGCATGTGAAGACAATGCCATGTCTGCTGCGTCAGTCCAGGTTGAATAAAATATTCAAATCGGGATGCCTGCCAAGGCCTGCAAAGCCAGCCATCGACATTGTCACTGCGAGGCGAGGCAGATAGCGACGATGTTGTTTGTTAATTGCCGCCTGTGCCCCACGCAACCGCTGTCATATCGCGTTGTGTTGTTCCGACGATTGCCGATCGTGAACAAGCGACATCTCGACCGCTCCAATCTGCAAGTGTTGCTGACTCGGCCACCAAAAGCTCTGATACCTAACACCAGTTCGATGATGGTCTCAGTCACCGCTTACAAAATTAGCAATACGATGATGAAGTACCAACCGTGCATCAGTTTGGGGCAAATCACCTCAAATGGACGCACGCGTCAGATTTAGTAAGTATCTCAAACTATCCATCCGTATTGACACTACAAGTTCGCATCTATACGTACCGAATAACATGCACATAGACATAGGCCTTGAAATTTCTGAGCAATGACCAGTTTGCTACTGATCAGCGTTGCCATATCTGCGCTCACTAGTCCGACGTACACGCCTTGAGCATAGCCCAACTTTACATCATAGGTTTAGCATTATAACGGCCTACACAGAACGGCGCCGAGGTTCTTACATTCTCGAAAGTCAAGCTCGGAGCTTGAAGCCTGAAGCTGCTTACCACACGTGCAGGGTTTGAGGCAGACCAAGGGCACCAGATATTGACGAACTTTTGACACACGAATCAGGTCCACATTTATGAGATTGAAGGCAGACACCACATGAAGCTGTTGCTGTACCAAATTTCGAGTACTAAGGCCGTGGCCTATCGGAAGAACAGTATTGTCAACCCCCTGAGCTTTGCGGTGATGCATTCACCCCTGCCCCACCCCTTCCGACGCACTCACACCCTTTGGGACGTTCAATTAGCGACGCTGGGAACCAAGGAACAGCTGACTAGATCCAGAAATTCGAGATTTCAAACAATTTTTCTTTTTCCTCGAACCGCTTTCATCTCCACACCTTTATCACTGCAGCAAGGAGCGTTCCTAGGCTCGTGCCCGATGAGCCTTTTTCCTAAATCGCATTGCCCTCCGCCGGCTGGAGCCTTTGTGGGGTCCACCGCGCGCATCAAACGGCCCTCGGCTCTTTTCCTCGTGTTCAAGATCTTGATGACTTGAGGAAGGTGTTGCTGCTTATGGCAGCTCGTGGCCAGTCGATTTCCAGTCACTCAAGCGGTACTACCACCGACTCCGACCTGCTTACTCCTATTTAATAGCTTTGCGTCGATGAAGACAGACTCACAAAGATTCAGCCCTGGTTACCATACCGATATGGGCAGTTTGGTGCAGTTTGATGGCATCAGAAGTCGGAGTTTCCTCACCTGTGGATGGTGTGTCGTGGTGGCAATTCCAATTCAGCCAGCTAGCTACCAACCCTGGCGACCGCGGTCGTCATTCGTCAACACCGCCCGTTCTATGAATATCTTCCGCGACCCAGTTTTTACCCAATGACCGAGCTAGAGCCGCCAGCTAACGAGGCTAGAGCACCGCTGGTTCCTTGGTGCCCTATCTGCGTACCCAAGGCTAGAAGCATACAGTACTCGCATGGATCAGCTACATGTTGACTCGAGAAGAGTATTGTCATCACTACTATTGTTTACTTTGACCTGGTGTGCGACCTCGATGCGGGACGGAGCGTGCTGTCAAAACGACACCGCGTTC